TCAGGGTCACTAATCAGGTGCACAGGGGGAGTCAGGATCACAGATAGAGTCTTGCACAGATCTGTGAAAGTGCAGCTCTATAGATGCATCTTTATAGTGAAATAGACACAACATTATAATAGTGCACCCTGCATTGGCCGGCCACAGTAGCAATGTCATTACCAGGCTGCAGCTAGGGGGAGCTCTAATGTTTAGAGATTCCTTCTAGCTCAGACATACAACAATTATAGTGAAGGAGACATTGGCCATTATAATTGTAGCGCCCTCCTAGCAGCCCGGGGGCTCCTAATGTGTGATAGCCAGAGCAGGTCCTGTCAGTCAGGGCCTGAGGATCTAGGCAGCCCCCTGTGTCCAGGCGTTTTGAACCTTTCGCAAGAGGGCCTTGGAGGAGGGGGATCCCTGAGGACCAGCCCAGGCTGCACTTTCAGACTGGTTCACCAATCCCCAACAGAAGGCTTGACAAGGGTCAGGAGACTACTTAATAGTGTAAGCAGCCCTGAAACAACATGCAGTGGGGAGTGAGATGTGATTTCCATCCCAGAGTACAGAGTGTAGTGGTCAGGAGTATGTGATTTGTCCAGAGTGCAGCAGTCAGGAGATGTGATTTCCATCCCAGAGGCAGAGTGGAGTGCATCAGGAGTATGTGATTTCCATCCCAGAGTGCCTACAGGAGGTCAGGGTGTATGTGATTTCCATCCCCAGAGACAGAGTGTAGTGGTCAGGAGTATGTGACACCACCATCCCACATCCCAGTAGTACACCAGAGTGTAGTGGTCAGGAGTATGTGATTTACACCCAGAGTGCACAGACCACAGTGGGCAGAGTATGTGATTTACACCACAGAGATGCAGTGGCACCACAGAGAAGAGTGTGTGGTACACCATGAGACCCGCCCACACCACAGAATGCACCACACCACAGAGACCGCCACAGTGGTGGGACTCACTTGCCTTGTGGTTTGCAGTACACCCAGGACACCCAGTGGGTGCACTCAGCCACAGAGAGAGGCACCACACCACAGAAACCCACACCACCACCACCAACCACACCACAGAGACCCGCACCACACCACAGGAGGTGCACTACACCACAGAATGGACACCACACCACAGAACCCGCATCAGCGCACTTGGTGTTTGCACTACACCACAGAACCCCACCTGCACCTGAACCTGCTTCACTGTCACACCACAGAACCCGCACACACCACAGAACTCTGCCTGCACCACACCACAGCTAAACCCGCACCACCACAGAAACCCTTTGTACCTTACACCAGAAACCCACACCACACCACCCACCCCACCACAGAAATGCACCTACACCACAGCTCACACCCACACACAGAGACCTTGCCTGCCCACACCACCGAAACCCGCACTGCACACACAGTACCACCACTACACCACAGAGACCCGTTGGGCACCACAGAGACCCGCACCACACCACAGAAACCGCACACACCACAGAGACCCGCACCACACCACAAAATTGTTTACACACATAGACCTGCAGACCTGCACCACCACAGAGACCCACACCACACCACAGAAACCCACCCTACACCACAGAGACCACACTACATGTGACAGACCTGCCCACACCACAAAAACCCACACATCAGAAACCTGCATTTACGCTCCTACAAACACAGTCCCACACATGTCAGGAGTAGCTATTCTCACAAAGGGGGCCCCAGCAATTCACTCCATGTCCACAGATACTCATACGGCTCCCATTAACCCTTTCACTGCCAGTGGCCAGCTTTTTGCACAAATGGGGGCCCCACAATTCAGGTCCATAAAGATGCACATCGACTCCCATTCGAACAATTTATGGGAAAATGCAGATCTGGGGCCTGAAGGTTAGCTAAACCCCTCCCCAAAATATATTTTCTAACGTGGTGATTGTTAAGGTGTTCCCCGTACACAGATTCCCCTTCATATCCGCCTTTTTTCCTCCTTTCCCCCATTTTCTATGTTGGGATCTTTTCTACAATACTTTGTTATAATAATGGGAACACGTTTGTGTATTGTATTGTACACCAATAATAATGACTCCGCCCCCACATTCCAGACAAGGGATCTTCCTGACCAATCAGATTTCTGCCTTTACTATTTCCTGATTATTTTTGTAATCTTGTTGAAAGTGAAATTGTAATAAAAAATGTATTGAACAAAAAAAAATCCTGTGTGTGTGTGCAATGATGACAAAGCTGTGTATCCAGAAACGGCTGGTCGGTGACACTTCCATATACAGCCCAATGAAGTGACAAGGAAGCCCTAGAACCCTTTGGAGGAACCCTGGCTGAGAAAGGCTGGACTAGGCAGTCACATATCTCTGCCCCCCTTGCAGGGTTCCCAACCCTCCGTGACTTTTATTACTGACACAACATGAAATAGAATAGAATGGATAGATAATGTGGACATTGTAGTCAATGGAAGGTGATGAAGGGACGGGCAGAATCAAGCTCCTTGATAGTAGAGGCAGACCCGATCAGTCCTCATGGGGGTCACATACATGTATAATAGACCCTTGTGGTGTCATGGAGGGCAATCCTCAGGTATCCTCATATGTAGATGATAGTCACTGAGATATCAGATAAAGCCACACGCTGCTATCTCACACTTGGCACAAAGACAGCCAGTAGATGGATGTAAAGAGATGACGGAACGGGGCACTTGTAGAGTCAAAGGAGGCAGCGGTCACCATTCACTTTCAGCACAGGAGAGTCCCTCAATCCTCAGTGAGGTCATATACATACATGGCAGACCCATATAGATCCCATAGGGGGTAATCCACGTAGTCATCCACGGATAATTGTGGTAATAGCAGTGTTGCCAGTATATGGATGGCGGGTTATAATGACAGGATAGATAGTGCAGTAGGCAGTGGGTGAGCAGAAATATGAGACTGATAGAGCCCTGTGTGCCAGCGATAGGAACAAGGACATCAGACAGGTGGAGCTCAGCCAAGCAATTTCCATGAATGGGGACTCCCGCAGTGTATTAGTGCCTTAGTCCAAAAAAACAGAGTCCGCTCACCCATCCAAGTGCCGTTTGCTAATGCATTGTCCTCCCGCTGCATAGTGGAAGTGTAGAGGCACGCCGTGTAATCATCTGTGGATGAGGAGGTCTGCAAAGAGGTCTAGTGTGTCCAGAGCAGTGTGTGGCCAGGTGGTGAGGCTGCGTGGAGAGGCCTGGATGCCGGGGACACGGGCGTCATGATGTTGTGATGTCAACGTGTTTCATCCACTGAGTCACGTGAGCTTCTTCAGCCCCACAGCACACCGGACACACTAGACCTCTTTGCAGACCTAATCATCCACGGATGACTACACGGCATACCTCTACACTTCCACTATGCAGCGGAAGACAATGTATTAGCAAACAGCACTTGGATGGGAAGCAGAAGGAGCCAAGAGAAGATGGGGAGCAGAAGGAGCCTGGAGAGGATGGGGAAGAAGCCTAGAAGGAGAGAAGCCTAGAAAGGATGGGAAGGAAGAAAGAGCCTAGAGAGGACGAGGAGGAGGGGAGAGAGGGAGGGAGCCTAGAGAGAGAGGATGGAGGGGAGGATGGGGGGGGAAGGGAGCCTAGAGAGGATGGGGAGGGGATGGAGCCTAGAGAGGATGGAAAGGAGAGAAAGAGCCTAGAGGGGGGGGGGAGCCCTTCCCTCCCGCGATGTGTCCCCTGCAGCATCCCTGGCCATCTCCTCCGGCCGATACCGGCATCCGGCTTCTGTGTTCCGGTCCCTGTTACGTCGGGATGTACGGGTGCCGGAACCGGCGGCAAATTTAAAAAAATGTCATTTTTTTGCGAACAAATATTACATAGTAAAACATTGCTGTTTCAAACCATTTCACATACATTTTGTCCCGAGTGCTTTGTCCGGCGCCCTGCCTGCATTTTGACTGTTCTTTCTGCCTGTAAACAGAAACATCCATGGCGTCCAAAAAGTGTCCCTTTAGGTCAGACGCGGTTTTAGACCGTCTAGAGAACAGCGATAGTAAATCAGAACCACTTGCAGAATTGAGTGATGATTCGTGGGGGAAATTCATCATCAGACACTGAAAACGATTCTGCGACTTTGCTCAGCGATGTGCGAACTTGGCGCTATATTTCCTATATCAGTGTTTTTCGTTTGATTATATTATTGAATTACATTTATTATTATTATTGTCACGGACTGCCAGTGCCTCTCCCATCCCCCGCCATATCCCTCCACCCCTCCCTTCCCCCTGGCACATTCTGAAGTCTGCTGGGCAGGCCGTTGCCGAGGCAACCTAGCTGCGTCCCACTTGATTTTCAAAACTCTCGCACAGGAAGTAGCCTCTCTCTCTGTTCCTGGCCATGCGGCAGGAAACAACTTGCTCCCAGAAAGATGCTGGGAGCCTCGGGTGAGGGGGACCGAGCCTCCCCAGCCATCCCCCCTGCGCACTCTGCAGACCCCAAAAGGTCAGGACTGTAGCCCTCTACAATACCCCAGGGTTGGGAGTCTCCACAGCTCTGCATGAGCCTTCTCCTCAAAGGTCAGACCCCACAGCTGAGACCCTGCCAGTCTGTAAGCCTGTCTACTGAGCACCCTGTCTGCTGCTGAGTGCCCTGGGAGCTGCTGCTGAGGGAGCCTGCACACTGTCCGTGGCTGCGTGTCCCTGGAAGCTGTCTGCTGCTGAGTGCCCTGGGGGCTGCTGCTGAGTTCCCTGGGAGCTGCTGCTGTCTGCTGATCACTGGTTGTCCCTAGAACGCTGACCACTGGTCGTCCCTGTCTGGAGCCACCTGCCGCTGAGGGTCTGCAAGCTGCTTACCGTGAGTGTCCTGAACTGTCCCTGCTGTGTGCACCGACCACCCATGTCCTGAACTGTTCCCATTGTGTGCACTGACCACCCGTGTCCTGAACTGTCCCTGTTGTGTGCACTGACAACCTGTGTTCTGAACTGTCCCCGCTGTGTGCACCGACCACCGTGTCCTGAACTGTCCCTGTTGTGCGCACTGACCACCTGTGTCTTGAACTGTGCCTCCTGTGCGCACCGACCACCTGTGTTCTGAACTGTCCCTGTTGTGCGCACTGACCACCTGTGTCCTGAACTGTGCCTGTTGTGTGCACCGACCACCGTGTCCTGAACTGTCCCTGTTGTGCGCACTGACCACCTGTGTCCTGAACTGTGCCTGCTGTGCGCATCGACCACCCGTGTTCTGAACTGTCCCCGCTATGTGCACCGACCACCCATGTCCTGAACTGTGCCTGCTGTGTGCATCGACCACCCGTGTTCTGAACTGTCCCCGGTGTATGCACCGACCACTCGTGTCCTGAACTGTCTCCGCTGTGTGTGCACTGACCACCCGTGTCCTGATGGCATGCCCGGAGTATAGCTACCTGTGGTGCCCCTGAGTGCTTGAGCCATCGCTACCCCGTTGAGTCCCCGTGAACCCAATGACCCTAGAAAGCTGGATGGGAGCTGTGCTGTGGCCAGTCTCCACAGCTAGAGTCCCGTTGAGTCCCCGAGGCCCCTGCCCAGTGGTAGGTTGCCGCCTGTTGCCTGAGCCCCTGTTGAGGGGTAGATTGCCGCCTGTTTGCCCCGAGGCCCCTGCCCAGTGGTAGGTTGCCGCCTGTTGCCCGAGTGGTAGGATATAAGGGAATACTTCTCCTACTGATCACTGATATAAAGGGGTCCTTCTCTGATCACTGATAAGGGGGTCCACTGATCACTGATATAAGGGGGTCCTTCTCCTACTGACCACTGATATATAAGGGAGACCTTCCTCTACTTATCACTGATATAAGGGGTCCTCTTCTCCTACTGATCACTGATATAAGGGGGTCCTTCTCCTGATCACTGATATAAGGGGGTCCTTCTCCTGATCACTGATATAAGGGGTCCCTTCTCCTACTTATCACTGATATAAGGGGTCCTTCTCCTACTGATCACTGATATAAGGGGGTCCTTCTCCTACTGATCACTGATATAAGGGGGTCCTTCTCCTACTGATCACTGATATAAGGGGGTCCTTCTCCTACTGATCACTGATATAAGGGGGTCTTTCTCCTACTGATCACTGATATAAGGGGGTCCTTCTCCTACTGATCACTGATATAAGGGGTCCTTCTCCTACTGATCACTGATATAAGGGGTCCTTCTACTACTGATCACTGATATAAGGGGGTCCTTCTACTGATCACTGATATAAGGGGTCCTTCTCCTACTGACCACTGATATAAGGGGGTCCTTCTCCTACTGACCCACTGATATAAGGGGGTCCTTCTACTGACCACTGATATAAGGGGGACCTTCTCCTACTTATCACTGATATAAGGGAGACCCTTCTCCTACTGATCACTGATATAAGGGGTCCTTCTACTACTGACCACTGATATAAGGGGGTCCTTCTCCTACTGACCACTGATATAAGGGGGTCCTTCTCCTACTGATCACTGATATAAGGGGTCCTTCTCCTACTGATCACTGATATAAGGGGTTCCTTCTCCTACTGATCACTGATATAAGGGGTCCTTCTACTACTGATCACTGATATAAGGGGTCCTTCTCCTACTGACCACTGATATAAGGGGGGTCCTTCTCCTACTGATCACTGATATAAGGGGGTCCTTCTCCTACTGATCACTGATATAAGGGGGTCCTTCTCCTACTGATCACTGATATAAGGGGGTCCTTCTCCTACTGATCACTGATATAAGGGGGGTCCTTCTCCTACTGATCACTGATATAAGGGGGTCCTTCTCCTACTGATCACTGATATAAGGGGTCCTTCTCCTACTGACCACTGATATAAGGGGGTCCTTCTCCTACTGATCACTGATATAAGGGGTCCTTCTCCTACTGATCACTGATCACTGATATAGGGGGTCCCTTCTCCTACTGATCACTGATATAAGGGGTCCTTCTCCTACTGATCACTGATATAAGGGGTCCTTCTTCTCCTACTGACTACACTGATATAAGGGGGTCCTTCTCCTACTGATCACTGATATAAAGGGGGTCCTTCTCCTACTGATCACTGATATAAGGGGGTCCTTCTTCTCCTACTGATCACTGATATAAGGGGTCCTTCTTCTACTACTGATCACTGATATAAGGGGGTCCTTCTCCTACTGATCACTGATATAAGGGGGTCCTTCTCCTACTGATATAAGGGGGTCCTTCTCCTACTGATCACTGATATAAGGGGGTCCTTCTCCTACTGATCACTGATATATAAGGGGTCCTTCTCTACTGATCACTGATATAAGGGGTCCTTCTCTACTGATCACTGATATAAGGGGGTCCTTCTCCTACTGATCACTGATATAAGGGGGTCCTTCTTCTACTGATCACTGATATAAGGGGGTCCTTCTCCTACTGATCACTGATATAAAGGGGTCCTTTCTCTACTGATCACTGATATAAGGGGGTCCTTCTCCTACTGATCACTGATATAAGGGGGTCCTCTCTCCTACTGATCACTGATATAAGGGGGTCCTTCTCCTACTGATCACTGATATAAGGGGGTCCTTCTCCTACTGATCACTGATATAAGGGGGTCCTTCTCCTACTGATCACCACTGATATAAGGGGTCCTTCTCCTACTGATCACTGATATAAGGGGGTCCTTCTCCTACTGATCACTGATATATAAGGGGGTCCTTCTCCTACTGACCACTGATATAAGGGGGTCCTTCTCCTACTGATCACTGATATAGGGGTCCTTCTCCTACTGATCACTGATATAAGGGGTCCTTCTCCTACTGATCACTGATATAAGGGGGTCCTTCTCCTACTGATCTGATATAAGGGGGGGTCCTTCTCCTACTAAGGGGGTCCTTCTCACTGATCACTGATATAAAGGGGTCCTTCTTCTCCTACTGATCACTGATATAAGGGGGTCCTTCTCCTACTGATCACTGATATAAGGGGTCCTTCTCCTACTGATCACTGATATAAGGGGTCCTTCTCCTACTGATCACTGATATAAGGGGTCCTTCTCCTACTGATCACTGATATAAGGGGTCCTTCTCCTACTGATCACTGATATAAGGGGGTCCTTCTCCTACTGATCACTGATATAAGGGGGTCCTTCTCCTACTGATCACTGATATAAGGGGGTCCTTCTCCTACTGATCACTGATATAAGGGTCCTTCTCCTACTGATCACTGATATAAGGGGGTCCTTTCCTACTGATCACTGATATAAGGGGGTCCTTCTCCTACTGATCACTGATATAAGGGGTCCTTCTCTCCTACTGATCACTGATATAAGGGGTCCTTCTCCTACTGATCACTGATATAAGGGGTCCTTCTCCTACTGATCACTGATATAAGGGGGTCCTTCTCCTACTACTGATAAGGGGGTCCACTGATCACTGATATAAGGGGTCCTTCTCCTACTGATATAAGGGGTCCTTCTCCTACTGATCACTGATATAAGGGGTCCTTCTCCTACTGAGGGGTCCCACTGATATAAGGGGGTCCTTCTCCCACTGATATAAGGGGTCCTTCTCCTACTCCCACTGATATAAGGGGTCCTTCTCCCACTGATATAAGGGGTCCTTCTCCCATTGGTGACCAGTAAGGGATTAATAAACAGACCACTTGGAATGAGCTCTGGATTTGGACTGAACCCATGTTTGTACAGAATTTGGATTTTTGGGGGTCGGAGAATTGCTGAACTAAAGGAGTATTCAGCCAAGTTGAACCTCCAGTTGCAGTATTACTATCACTGCTAAATGTGGCAGCTTCCCCCTCAGGCTGGTTGATAGGGAGTCAGGAGCTGTAGGTGCCCTAAGACCGGGTGATATACAACACTCTCCACCCCCCTCCTATTTAGTTGTCAACTGGGGAATCCCAACTGACAGGTGAATGTAAAAAAAAATGCAAGGGACCCTTAATAGTTCATACAGGCCCATCCAAGAATGCACCCTGGCTGCCCAGGATAGGGTGGGGGATGGGGAGTGAGCATTCCCCTCCTGAACCATACCAGCCTACATACCCTCAACATGGAGAGAGTATCTTGCCAAGCCCATTCCCAAGTGGTTGGAAAGTTGAACAAGTCCAATGTATGAGCTCGTATCGGGGAACACGAGGAATCTGTACAACATAGGGCATCGGGAAATGGATATCTGTCTGCAGGACAAACTCTAATCCATGGGAACTAGTGATGACTGAACTGTCCTGGGTTTGGTTTGATGTTGAACCCCAACCCCATTGAAAGCTACAGAAGCCAAATCTGTCAAATGATAAATTCCTTTTTTCTGGCTAATAGGCAAGGGAGTGTCAAACATATCATGGGGAAGGGGAGGGCGCCCTGGAGAACATGGACCAATGCTAAATATCTGTGTAAACATTCCATGCAGCCGGGAGCAGTGATTATTTTAGCTCTGACATTTAGAAATCTAAAAACATTTTTACATTTCCAGCAAATGACATTTCCCTCCGGATTCTTTTATGAAAGCAGAAAACATCACACAGACCCTCCAGAGTTCCCCCACCATACATGAGGGGTCTGTGATGTATTTGGGGGTCTTCCTGTTTACTTCCTGCGTGTGTTCCATAGATCAGAAGTGATGTAGGCGGAGATGACATCACAATGAGTAGCCCCGCCCCACCATTTCCACCTACATCTGGGTCAGCGGTGGCCATCTTGGATCCATGTAGTAGAGCTGAATGCCGCCATTTGTATTATTGATGTGAGTGAACACTTGGAAGGGATTTATTGTCACGATTCCAATAACAATGACTGCACTGTGGCTTCTATGTTCTTGTTTCTTCATGATGGACACAATGCATTTGGAGGATCAGAAGCTGGAAGGAGGTGACTTGGAAGGCTGCCTGGAAGGACAGGGCCAATCTGAGCTATTGTGAAGCCACTTATTAGTAGGGTGATGGAGGTGTGGTGAGCTCACAATGTGAGTGAGAGCATGGGATCTGGGTTTGGGGAAGGAGGTGTTTTGTAGTCCACTACGCACGGTTGGCTGGAGCATATACTGAGATTTGGAGGAAGAAGCTCCTGAGGGTTTGGAGACATTTCTTGGTGGTGATCTCATTTATTGAAGTATAAAGGACACGTTGGATGGACTTTTATTTCACTTTCTGGTGAGGAGGGACTGATCAGGAGGGACCTTGTTGTCTACCAGTAGAGTCCGAATGACTTGTATTCCCAGATGGTGGGGACTGGACCTCCTGAATGAGGAATAGGGAATGTCATGTCTCTGAAGATCCTCCCCCAATATATAGTCCCACTTCTTCCAGCTAAAGCAACATGCTATTGATCTCCTGGGGATTGGGTGATCTCCAGAAATCAGACAGATCTGATTGGTGGGGACATGATAGGAAATCAGCTGACATGTTTTTTTCTTCTGTAGTCCAGACCTTCCTGGGAAATGTTATTGTGTCAACAATCTCTCCAGGAACTTCAAGGAACTCCACAAATGAGTCAAGTTGATCAGGAAGGGGGTGGGGTGCTTCGGGAGGCTGGAGGATCTGATATCCATGAAAGAAATAGTCCCCATCATGTTTTCATTCATCATCTACACTTCCTGACATGATAAAGGGAAATGGGTGCTAATAGAATGCAGGAGATCTGCCGACTGAAAGAAAGTAGAAATGGATACTAATAGGTTACAGGAG